GAGAAGAGGAGAGTGAATGCTCTGCTGCAGCGTGAGAAGCTGATCCGACATCTGGGCATCACTGAGCAGCTTTCCCGGCTGCTCCCCACAGCTGACACCCAGGGATCCTGCGTGCTCCAGAAACAGGTAACAGCCCTGCCCGGAACAGCCCCTCACAGAAGTGAATTGGGCACTGAGCATCTCTGCCGGGGTCTGATCGGGGTCCGCTGCAGGCGGATCAGCTGCTGTGCCTGCAGGACGATGTGAGTCTGGAATGGTGGTGGGGGCATCCTGGGGACAATGTGCAGGGTAATGCTTTAGTGAGCACCTGGGTGTGACTAGAGGAGACTCTTCCTTCCTATGACCTGCCAAGGCCTACAGAAGTAAGCCATGGCCATTTTCTTTCCCTCCTTCCAGCTAAAGTTTCCCTGGGATCTCCTCAGGGACCACAACACCCACGATTTAATGATGCTTATCTCACTCCTGGGAGTCCCAGCTCAGCCCTTGGGACACAGGATCATGCCCAGCCCTAGAGCCCAGGCCCTGCCACGGCACACCCCAGGCCCAGATCCCAACGACATCAAGACCCTGTGCATTCAAGGCCGGAGTGTCGCGTACCACGCGCGGCAGGAGGGCCCCCGGGCAGCAGCGACCCAGCCCTGTGCCCAGCCTAAGGGGCTGCAGCTGTGTGATCAGCAGCTCCCTGGCATTGGAACCCAGGCTGAAGGCTGTAAGTACGGATCACCTTCCTGTGGGATGCTCCTGGCCTTGATGGGAGGAATGGATGAGCTCAGTGGAGCTCTCAGGGATGCTGAGACACTGCAGAGGGGTTGCCTTGCTCTCCTTGGGGCACTGGTAACCACTAGGAGTCTCTGTGTAAGGCCATTTGCAGGGACAGGGAAGAGCCATGAGTGGTTTCCAAGGATCAAGGGTTGATGTGCAGGCATTGGGGAGTGTGAGAAGCCAGGAAAGTCAAAGGGGTGAATTAGCTCCTGGGGGTCAGCGGGGACACGGTGACACAGCACCACTCTCGTCCCAGGGCTTCCTCCCACCATACTGCTCCCTACCCTACTTCTTCACCCAGCCCTGCATCCTGGCATCGGCTTCATCCACTTTGCAGCCTTAGGACCAGGGGAGCAGGGGCTGCCAGCACCAAGCCCCACTGGGAAGGGCAGTGGGAGCTGCTGGCTCTGCACAGCCCCACATCTGTCTGTGCTGTTCCAGATGATGTCGGTAGTCTGTCATCCTCCGATGAAGGCAGCTGTCCCCCGGCTTCCCCAGCCAGCCCAGGGCAGGGTGATGGCATCTTCCACTGCGCTGTGGTCCCGGAGCTTCCCATCACCACTGCCGTTCACACGCAGCACACACATGGCTCACATCATGGCAGAGCCTCGCAATGCCAGTGCGTCACACCAAGCCAGGACCTCACCCCATGCCAGTGCCTCACGCATTCACAGCATGAAAAGCACAGGTAACATGGCTGAGGGCTCAGCCTTCCTCCCATGTGTGCTTGGACCAGGACTTGCTGGATAGGCTGGCTGCCTCCATCAACTCTGGGGTCGGCTGCCGAGCCCCCTGACCAGAGCCTGGGCCCAGCCACCTGTCCCGGCTAGCTTCACCTCTGCCAGGACCGGAGACTGGTACTTGTGCCTCTGTCCGTGCCCCGCCCGCTGCACTCGTGTCTGTGACCCGCAACAGAATCCCT